GAAATACAAATGTATCAGCCTAAGGTACAATGTCACAGGTTGATCAGAGCTTCTTTTCTGCCCCCAGGAAGGAATTAAAGTTGGTTTATTTGTTTCCCTTTGGTTTGTGGAAAGAATACTGAAGAAGACTTAAGTCTCAGAATGTATCACCTGCTGTGTAATCCTGGGCAAGTTACTTAATCTCTCTGACATGTCCCCTCATGTGTTAAATACATGTTCCCTAGTGTTAAAAAATAAGATAAAATAAAATGGGATTCATAACTATCTCACCTATTTTAAAGATTATTGTAAATACTAAATGAGATAATGCATGTTAAAGATTTTGGGTAGGTTTTTTAGTAGTAGAGTCTAGACTACAATCCTAAACCATGTCATTTACTCATATCAGACTGAGTTTAACATTCCAATAAGTATGCTTTTACTAGTTTCTCTGTCTAAATTTTTTTGAGTATCTGTTTTGTGAGTTGATACTTTTACCTTTAACAGTGGCCCTCACCCACCAAAATTATATGACTTTAGCCTTTTTTGGATTTTAAATTTAGAGAGAGACTCTTTTGGTTCTTGTTCACTAGTAGACAATAGCTATTAATGTTTTAAGATTTAAGGAGAATCAGGAAAGTCTCCTTTATTAAAGTATATCAGTATTACCACTAGGATCACACCCACCTGACATCTCCCAACCCTGTGCTAAGCACACCATTCTTCAATAGTTCTCACTTCCTTATCTCTCTCACCCAGTCTAACTAGGGTCAGTGATCATAAGATTTCAGAGAAATAAATGTTAGGGACCCCCAAAGAAATGCTTCTTTAGCATGTGTTTTTGATGTTCTGATTTAATGTGTGTGTGTGTGTTTCTTTTCACCTTCTACTCCAACTTTTCTTTCAGGAACCCCTATTTTGTGGTCACTACTTAAATGTACTTTATTCTCTTGGGGCTTAAAGTCATTGTGAAATGCAGAACAATTGCTTGGCAATCAACCCATGTTCAACTTAGAGGCGTGCCTAATTACTGACAGATCAAGGAGATTTTCTGCCAAATAGTAATAGTATTGTACTCTAAGATATAAAATAAGAAAACAAATTAAACAGAGGTTGGTGGTGTAGATCTTTGCAGGAAACTACCCTGCCTTCCCACAGGCTCTGAGTTGCCACTGATTCAGATCTCATTAGATTTTTCTCACACATCTCTAGAAAGTATGAAAACACACTTTAGAATATTTGAAGAAAATTGGATGTCAAATAGTAACTACCCTACTTCCTTTTTTATTTTTCCTTCTTTTCCATATAGAATATCATAAGAAAGGGAAGAATTTAACTCATGGGGACCTAAAATTAGTTTAATCTGTAAAGCTCTTTCTTCCAGGAAGAACTGCACTAATAGTTAGCTGCTTGTAATACATGCATAAACTATTGCATGACCATTATTTTGGAAAAAGAAAGAAATCAGAATCAATTTGTCTGTCTGCCTGGATTAAAGAATGGTTTAAATGTTTTTAGAAAAATGTGACGAAACTCAACCAATAGAATTTTTTTTTATTAGAACACAAATCCCTAAGTATTCTTCTCAAGTTGAACTCAGGCAACTTTCAACACTTCTTTCTCCCCACTGCATCAGGCTATCAGTCCTATCACTTGCATTTTCCCCTGCTCTTTCCTTTTCACTAGTAATAATCTGGGTCATTCTTTGGCTGCTAATTATTTATCTCTTCCTCAAAGGAGAGTTGTTTGTTTGTTTGTTTTTAACCTGACACAAGAGAACTTAGAAGGATTTAACCAACCTGAAATACAGAAAGGGAGTCACAGGCAAATTTGCTCCATCTTTGCAAAGGTGTGAGGGCTTCACCAGACTGTAGTGAGGTACCCACTGTTTGCTTTTTGTCATGGGATGCTCCATGAATGACAACATTTTGTGCCCATTAACTATTAATATTATGTGTAAGCATTAATTGTTTTCATCGTATTTTTACACATTAAGCTATACCCGCGATTTTTCAGCAGAGCTGTACATCTGATTATCCGTGAATCTTTTGAAAAATATTGTTACTCTAGCCCCATCCCAGACCTCGTTAATTAAACCAAGACACTGCTGGGGGTAGAGAAGTGCAAGCTAGTTATTTGTATTTTTCAAAAGCTCCAGAGGTGAGTCTCATTCATTTTCCCAATGGAAAGATTTAGTGCCATCCCATTTTAAGTATTTTATCCCCAAAGATCCATGTCCTATGAACAATTTCAGTAGGTGGCACTCTTTCCACCTGTCAGCTTCCCTGTTTGGCGGGAATGAACCCTAAGTCATTCAAGGAAATCAGGAGCAGATCAAGGGTGCAACGTCCTTTCACCACACTAATACTGAAAACAGGTAGCAGAACTTATCTGTAAACAATCTGTTAGTGGGGTTAAGACATATGTTATAGGGATGGGGGGAGTGGGCAGAAGTGTGATACCACATTTGTTTATTACACAAATATAATCATTATTCCAAAAAGTTCAAGCATGCCAACTTCTAGCATACAATTGGAAACAAAAGAAACAGCGTAGAAAGCAAATGATTAAAAAACAAACAAAAAAAACAAACAAAAACCAAGTAAAAGTTTAGACAAGAGTTTTTGTTTCTGTTTTTGTTTTATGAGGAAGAGATAGGGAACACTAATGTTATTGTAAAAAAAACAAAAACAAAACCCCAAAACACAACCCCCCACACACACCCTAACTGTGTGAAAAACTTATCATGGCATTAAACATAGATATCTGTATCTGCTAAACTGGGGAGACAGAACAGTGTAGCTTGCAAGGACATGAGCTTTAGAATCAGACAAACCTAGCTTTATATATATATATATATTTTTTTTTTTTTCTTTTTTTTTTTGGTACGCCGGCCTCTTACTGCTGTGGCCTCTCCCGTTGCAGAGCACAGGCTCCGGACGCGCAGGCTCAGCGGCCATGGCTCACGGGCCCAGCCGCTCCGCGGCATGTGGATCTTCCCAGACCGGGGCACGAACCCGTGTCCCCTGCATCGGCAGGCGGACTCTCAACCACTGCGCCACCAGGGAAGCCCCAGACAAACCTAGCTTTAGATTTAGACCTTGGTTCCAGCTCTTTAATCCCAACCAAATCACTCAACTGTTAATTCTCAATAAGCTTTTACCTACCTTATTTGGTTATGCTAAGCATTAAATTAAAAGATAATAAATGTACAAGAATTATTACAATGCTTGGTACATAGCCAGTATTTAACAAGTAAATGTATATGTAAATGCAGGTGTTGAGTTGTTTTTTTTAAGTAACAGAATAATGGAAAATTATTTTGAGTTTTGAAGGGAAGATTCTTATACTAGTTAGTACTAATAATGGTGAGAAAAATTTAGACGGAGATGAGCAGGAAAAGATATGAGGATAATTTGGGTATAATGAAAAAGGCCTGATCTTGGATTCACTAAACTTGGGTTTGAGAGGTGATCCTCTATTGCAGGAAAAGTCACTTAGCCTCAATTTTCATTTTTATAAGACAGGAATTATATGCCATTTTAATGTGGCATATGATTTTGAATATTAAACTGTTAGTGTACACCTTACCACAAAAATATTAGTGTACAAAAATGCTTTTAAAACTATAAAATCCTATATAATAAACTTCATTATTGAAGTTTATCACTGAAACTGAAAAATTACTCTATCAGAAGAAAGTGGGGGACTTCCCTGGTGGCACAGTGGTCAAAAACCCACCTGCCAATGCGGGGGACACGGGTTCGAGCCCTGGTCCAGGAAGATCCCACATGCCACGGAACAACTAAGCCCGTGCGCCACAACTACTGAGCCTGCGCTCTAGAGTCCGCGAGCCACAACTACTGAGCCGCGTGCCACAACTACTGAAGCCTGCGCGCCTAGAGCCCGTGCTCCACAACAAGAGAAGCCACCGCCATGAGAAGCCTGCACACCACAACGAAGAGTAGTCCCTGCTCACCGCAACTAGAGAAAGCCCGCATGCAACAACAAAGACCCAACGCAGCCAAACATAAAATATAAATAAATTAATTTAAAAAAAAGAAGAAAGTGGGATATTAAATGCGTTACCAAAGTCGGATGAGAATAAGAAGAGTAGTTATTGGACTGTGAATTCAGAATTTATGAGAAGAAAAGAGATTGATATTAGCAACACATTTGCAATACTTCTGGAGGCACTTCCATGAGATCTGTCTCACTAATGAGCCTAATATTCTTTGTCCACACCTCGTGGCATGTGGGATCTTAGTTCCCTGACCAGGGATTGAATCTCATAATATTATGATCCTCGGCTTTGGACAATAATGGTTTGTATTAATAATAATGTATATCAATAATTTGAAGTGTTCTGTCTAAATGTTTCATCTCTTGGGGATTTTTTTAACTTGGCATTCTACTTATATTAAATATGTACCTTTGTATGGTGTGCAGTAATGTCACTAGACAAAAGAAACAAGAAAGTCCCTTCCCAGCAATGACTGCTGTGCTGTTTGAAGGTCAATTGTCTTTTAAGCATGGAGAGAATCTTTATCATGTCATACTTCAGAAATATGTTTTTGGAGATGGGAAACAACAGGCCATGATTTAATGTTTTTGTTAAACCACTATAATTCTTTCAAAGGTGTATGCACCACAACTCTCATCTCAGTTAAAGAGAAAATCAAGTCCTTAAAGAAAATTTCCTATTCTGCAGGTGGGGAGGAAATTAAGAATCACCTATTATTTTTTTGTTAGTACAAGAAATTTGCATTGTAAAGCAAGCTGCTATTGTCAGCTCTTTTTCTTTTTAATAGAAATTTATTTATTTATTTATTTTTGGCTGCGTTGGGTCTTCGTTGCTGCGCGCAGGGTTCCTCTAGTTGCGGAGAGTGGGGGCTACTCTTCTTTGTGGTGCGCAGGCTTCTCATTACGGTGGCTTCTCTTGTCGCAGATCATGGGTTTCAGTAGTTGTGGCTCGCGGGCTCTAGAGCACAGGCTCAGTAGTTGTGGCACATGGGCTTAGTTGCTCCGCAGCATGTGGGATCTTCCTGGACAAGGACTCGAACCTGTGTCCCCAGCATTGGCAGGCGGATTCTTAACCACTGCGCCACCAGGAAAGCCCTGTTGTCAGCTCTTTAAAGGACAAAGCAGACAGGAAGCTGCCTCCACCCTATGAGGCTTAGAGACCGAGCAATTGAGTTAGATAGCAGGTACCCAGCCCAATCAAGTCAATTTTCTAACACAGAATAGCATGTTGTAGGACTTGTTCTATTAGTTTTTTTTTCCTCTGGTAAGGAAGCAAGGATTTTTCTGTGTGGAAATAGTGCTGGTCTTTCTAGTTGAAGAAAAAAAAAAAAAAGAAAATGGTAAGGAGTTTGATAGCAATTGACTGCTGTTAAAACAGCAAATTATCTTTTAAAAAGATTATCCACATCTGTAAGAGGAGAAATCTTAAGAATGCACACAATTAATAAAAGCTTGCTCCGAATTACCCACTAATATCCAGTCAACAACGTTCACTATAGCTTATCTTTCCCAGAAATAACAAGTAAGAAAGAGGTGTTTAAAAAATCAACAATACAAAATTTCACTAAGATATTTTACACCTGGAGACCTTTAGAATTTTACTTCCTTTTGCTGTTGAAAAGTCATAACAGCCAAGAGGAGTAAGGTATTTTCAATTAACAAATGTCATGGTGGTTAAGGGTGGGGTGGGGTGGAGGTGCAAAGGAAGAAGTTGGCAAGAAAAGGTTCAGGGCCTGTTGCAAAACCAACTGCAAGCCAAGTATGACTCCAGGTAGATGAGAACCACCTGCTACAACAAAGAGAGAGGTTTAAAAGATGAGAGGGAGGTGACCCTACAGACCATTTCCTCAATTATCATATAAATAAGGGCATATACGGGTGTTTATATCAGACACATGCCAATACAATATTTGCCATGTTATTCAATGTAGGAAGACATAATTACTTCTATACTTCTAGTTAAACAAGAAAAGCTCTTGCAAGTAGATGGCTTATGACTGGTAATAGTAATAACCAGTAGTAATAACCACCTGGGCACTTAGTGTCATGGTTAATCCTCACAACCGCACTGTTTTAGATGGTGTTTGACAGGTGAGGAAACTGACATACACAAAGGGTTAAGTACCATGCTCAAGGTCACACATTTAGTAAGCGTGGAGTCAAGATTCATCTGCCTCTGTGGACTCCAAAGCTCACGCTTTCCACAATTCTGCTGTTCTGTGCGCTGCACAACTGTACGTCACAGCCTTCGGAAAACTTTACTTTTTGGACTTGAGAAACAAATTACAAGGCACCTTTTAAACAGCTTAAAGTCCGTTAGCAATTGCCAAGACTTCAATGACACATTAGTGTACAATTAGAAAAGATGGAAATTCATTTTACATGAATGCTTAGGGAAACGAACGATTTTACTTAGTCTAGTGCAAAACCAGAAATCGAAGTCAACTTTGTCTCAAAGTGGAATAAACAGCGTTTCACTTCAAACGCTCTTCTTAGTAACAACGTGACATACAAAGAGTTCCTTTTTTAACCCTTTTCAAAGAGAAAATATTCCGATTTCATAAAATTAGGTAAAGACATCCAAAGAAATTTGCGGACAAAAAACCGTGAGCTACACAAAATAACTTGTGTTTACTTAAGAGTATCGTGATCACAATATAGTGATCCCGTAAAAGATGTGTCCAAAACGTCTATCTAAAATTTGAATGCCAGTAACGTGAGAACTTATAATAGAGGGCAAATCTCAAAAACCATCTGATATACCAATTCACGTGGGCTTTGTTCTTGATCTCATCTTCACATAAAAAATTTATGATTAGAGGGAAAAAAAGCATTAAAAAGAGAAGTAAAACTACTCGGCAATGGAAAAGAAAATCTGTCAGTGGATGCGAGTGGTTATATAGAATTCCGAACTTCAGGGAAAATCGAGCGTCCGTCATTCGGCGTTTAGTTCCTTATGGGTCGATGTCATTACTTAATTATAAGGCTGGACATTTTTTCAAAATAGAGGCTCTTATGGGGGTAAATTTAAGCATTTGAAAGTGCAGATTTATTTCTTACAACCGAATCCAGCGCGAAGTGGAGAGTCACTGGTGCGAAAGCCCTCTCGGATCTGCGTGAATCCTTCTTCCCAGCCCACGTGGCCAAAGTAAACAGAAGGTGGGCCGGGGCGGGGAGAAGCGGGCCTGGGTCAAATTCCTAATTTGTCGAGTCTTTAAAACTACAGGCCCCTAAAGCACTAAGGGCATGCCCTCCGCGAAACTGGGGAGTGCTTCTGCTGAGCGAGATGAAAGCGACTGTGTGGAGAGGATGCCAAAGCGGGGACGAGGCGGGGCGGTTGGACCTACCAGGGGGTGGGTGCGCGAGGGGGCGTGTGCGGGGATACCTGCCAGGAGGTGGGAGTCGGGGCGGGGGCGGCGCCCACCTACTCTAAGGAGGCGGTGGGGTGCGGTACCAGCAAAAAGTTTAAAAGGTTAAGCTGGGGTCTCGCAGCCTCCTGCCAGGGACGCACGCCACCTCCCCCTTCGCGCCCGCCCCGCGCCTTCACTGGAGTGGAAACCCATCAGAGGGTCCCGGGGGCCGGACCTTCCCCCGCGTGCCCCCGCCCCGCGCTCCTCCGGGCCCACGGCTCCCCACGCTGGCTCCCCAGCCCCGGCCTCGACCGCGCGCCCCCTCGTTCGGCCCCAGGGGCCGCCGGCTTTTGTGCGGGGAGCCCCGGGGCGGGGAGCCGATGCCCGGGGAGCCGTGGCCGAGGGTCCCGGGGCGGCGGCGGAGACCGGGACGGAGGAGGCGGCGGCCGGGTGAAGGGGGAGGAGGCGGAGGAGGAGGAGGAGGAAGCGGGGCGGAGAAGGCGGAGGAGGAGGAGGAGAGCGGCGGCTGCGGCGAGAGCTCGGGCGGCCCCGCCGCCTCCTCGCGAGCGCCGCGCGCCCAGGCCCGGCTCGCATGCGAGTCACGTCCGCCCCCTCGCCGCGGCCGCCCCGAGACGCCGGCCCCGCCGAGTGATGAGAACAGACGTCAAACTGCCTTATGAATATTGATGCGGAGGCTAGGCTGCTTTCGTAGAGAAGCAGAAGGAAGCAAGATGGCTGCCCTTTAGGATTTGTTAGAAAGGAGACCCGACTGCCACTGCTGGATTGCTGCAAGGCTGAGGGACGAGAACGAGGTCAGAGCGCTTCTCTTGTGCCGCGAAACTCTCCCTTTCCTCTCCCCTGCGCTTTCTCTCGGGCTTGTGGGGACTGGGGAGCAAAGCCTGCAGTGTCACCCACAAATACCAAGAGGGAAGAGGGAAGCTTCACAAATTACTGGAGCCTCTTCAACATGGCTGACAAATATAGTTTTAATTCCCCCCCACCCCCCTTTAAACCTGTAGTTCTGTGTCCTCCTCTCTCTCCTGCTAGTGCTCGTGTCCTCCTCGCCCAGAAAACTTACCTTTGTGAGTCCGGCCGGCTGCTTTCCCGGCCTTTTATCCTCCGGAAAGTGATTTTTCTCTGCTTTCCTTTCTAAAATAGTTCAGCTGTGGGGGGCACGACCTTCCCCTTGAAGCTTCCCCACCCCCTCCCTTCGTGGAAGGCAGACGAGCCTCGGGTTTATCCTCGCCCGCCCTGGGGAGAACACAGACGGAGTGGTCTTCGACCCTTTTCTCCGCTGGGGCTCTGGGTCTGGGTGTGCGTTTGCGTCCGCCCCTTTCTGCCCCGTGTCCCCCTTTTCGGGGGCTGCGCTCAGCGAGTGTCAGGCGAGTGGAACAGGAGTCCACTCAGTGGGGTTTTGTTTTTTCCTGAAGTCCGCGCGTTTTGTTAGCGGTGCCGAGCGAGAGAGGAAAGAATAGTTTCTGTGGTTCCCTCAATAAGACCCGAACCCACTTTTCTCGAGGTACATCAGCTCTGCGATGGGCTGTACCTTCCAGCCTGGGGAATGTGTGTGAGAGAATTTGTGGGCAAATCTGTGTCCTGGCTTTGTGCTTCTCCCGAATCAGCTTCGTCGGGTTCCCCGGTAAGTGACAGGCAGACACAAAGGCAGGCGCAGGCCGGGGGAGGGGGCGGGCGGGCAGGAGGCGGGGGTGGGGGGGGGAGTGTGGAGAGTTGGAAGACTGCAAGGTCAGGGGCGCCGAAAGAAATGAAACCCAATCCCAGTAAAGAAACAGAGACGTAGAGAGCAGATTTCTAACAGTCCCATCCAAATTTCTCTTTCCCTCTTGGCTGCTCTCTTTTCTTTGGTCTTTTATCTCTCTGCTTTTCTCTGTGTCTCTTTTCTCCTCATCCTCTTTCCTCTTCTACTTCTTCTTCCTCTTCCCCTTTCTTCCCCTTCTTCCTCTTCCTTTTCTCCTCTTTCTCCTCCTCCTCCTTTTTACGCACATGAATCTTGCTGAATCTTTCATTGGGGCTGCTAGTCTAGCGATATTAAGCTAAGTTTCTATGGAGACTTTTCTACCTATGGCAAATAAAGCGTGGGCTGGATAGACTGCTGAGAAGGTCGAATGTGAAATATAAGTGAAATTTACTGGCTGTTACCCTCATGACATACTTTTAATTGCATTGAGTGAGTTTTCTTCCTTCTTCTTGTAGTGTTTAGGAATTGAAAAAGGATCATTTTCCAGTTGTTGAAAATTTAGTGAAATATTTTTATATTTGTCTGTCTAGGGAGGAGGATATATCCAAAATTTAAAATCTCGAGTCACACATTGTGCTTTTCCCTCTCCAATCAGGGATAATAATGGCAAATACAAATCTAAAAGTATTCATCAACAAATGATCCAACATAAGAGGAAGAATATATCTTAGGGACAGTTGGAATGTACATAGAAAAGATAATTGGGTTGGGTTGGGTTGGGTTTGATTTAAGACTGTGGGTATTGTTGCCTGGCTAATGAAAGTCATTATATTTGCATTTTAATGAAAAGTTGAAATACTGGAGGGGAGTTATATTCTTTTCCATGTTTGCATGTGTGTTTTGTAATAGGTTTGAAGTAGAATATAAATTTCAACACAATAAATACTGATTTTTTAAATGTTATCAAGCAGAGAAGTGTTAGTGGAAGACTGGAAAGTCAAACAAGTTTAGAAGGCATGGACATGATTAAAAGATGGACAGAGTTGGAAAAGCACAGTAATGGACATTACTCCATAAATCGGATTTCCAAAACTATTTGTCCTCAATAGTTCACTTTGTAACTCCTTGTATTTTGATCTCTGGAAAAGCAGTTAAATTTACTTTAATCATTGATATCGGAGGCATGATTACAAGGGAGACATATTACTCATCTCTGTGGAATAGAAACAGCTCATTTGGTTAGTTCTTATTTGTCCTAAATAATAAAGAAAACACTTAGGAATTTAACACAAATGCTTACTGTTTGTTGAGAAAACTGTGGTTAATTATTCCAGCAATTCAGAATTTAAAATAAATAATTTCTTTTGCTAACAGTGGTATATAACTACTTTTGGGGGACTTTTCAGATGTTGTATATACTGTCTTAAGGCTATTCAACTAATAATAGATACATCACATTGATAAATAAGGATATCTACATTGATTAATAATTTTCATTGTGACCATGAAAGCTTGTTCTTTCCCAGCATCCAATTTAGACTCTTTTCTGAAAATAGCTGCTAATTAATATTGTATGAGGGGCTTCAATGATTATAAGGAGGAGATGTGCATATTATTCACCAAATCAAGAAAATATTACTTTTTCCTTTAGTAGAAATTTTTTTTTTTTTTTGCAATACGCGGGCCTCTCACTGTTGCGGCCTCTCCCGTTGCGGAGCACAGGCTCCGGACGCGCAGGCTCAGCGGCCATGGCTCACGGGCGCAGCCGCTCCGCAGCATGTGGGATCTTCCCGGACCAGGGCACGAACCTGTGTCCCCTGCATCGGCAGGCGGACTCTTGACCACTGCGCCACCAGGGAAGCCCTAGAAAAATTATTTTAATTAGCATGGGATACTTTACAATGAAAGACATAACCTCAGCTTTTCATTTACCATATTTGTGAGAGTCAATACTACCTGGATTCTCCAAAAATTTCATTCATTCATGTATGTATGTATGTATGTATGTATGTCTGCAATAGGTCTTGGTTGCTGCACGCGGGCTTTCTCTAGTTGCGGCAAGTGGGGGCTACTCTTCCTTGTGGTGCGCATGCTTCTCAGTGCAGTGGTTTCTCTTGTTGCAGAGCACAGGCTCTAGGCGCACAGGCTTCAGTAGTTGTGGCTCGCGGGCTCTAGAGCGCAGGCTCAATAGTTGTGGCGCACGGGCTTAGTTGCTCCGCGGCATATGGGATCTTCCTGGACCAGGGCTCAAACCTGTGTCCACTGCATTGGCAGGTGAATTCTTAACCACTGTGCCACCAGGGAAGCCCTCCTTATTTTTTATAAATTTATTCATTTATTTATTTATTTTTGGCTGCGTTGGGTCTTTGTTGCTGCACGCAGGCTCTTCTCTAGTTGTGGTGAGTGGGGGCTACTCTTCGTTGTGGTGCGCAGGCTTCTCATTGCGGTGGCTTCCCTTGTTGTGGAACATGGGCTCTAGGTGCGCGGGCTTCAGTAGCTGTGGCATGCAGGCTCAGTAGTTGTGGTTCATGGGCTGTAGAGCACAGGCTCAGTAGCTGTGACACACGAGCTTAGTTGCTCCACGGCTTGTGGGATCTTCCCAAACCAGGGCTCGAACCCGTGTCCCCTGTGTTGGCAGACGGAATCTTAACCACTGCGCCACCAGGGAAGTCCCCTGCTTATTTTTTAAATTGAACTAATGGTTAATGAGAAATTAACTTGGAATGAGGGAAGTCTCTTGCCTTGTTTAAATTCACACATTTACCAAACTCTTCTTATGGCTCTAATTAGATCTGGTATTGTGTTGGTCCATGCCAGGAGCCAGAGGGATTAATAGGATTCTGATTCAGTGGTGCATGGACCTAGATATTGGCAGGTCAACATCACTTCCAGAACAAGTGAAATGCACCTGCCTGGGAGTTGTTATGACAGACTTCCAAAGTTCTGTTTGGGCACTAGACTTGTATTAGGTAACAAAGAGTGGAGTTAATGTTTTGGTTTCGCTTGTTGCAGTTAGAACTTCTCTATCAACTTCTCCAAGACTCCACCCATACACAGTGTTGTAAGCCAAATGGCACTACTGAAATGTGTTGGGTTGGCCAAAAAGTTCATTTGGGTTTTTGTAAGAGGTTCCTGAAAAACCTGAATGAACTTTTTGGCCAGCCCAATCTTTCCTTGTTTATCTCATTAAGAAGTTCTTCTTATGATTCACAGACACACCTGGCAGAAACTTTATTTTTCATACTGCACCAAATCCAAGTTAGTAAATTCATGTGAATTCTTAAGAAATTAGTTTGCAATAAAATGTTCTCATAAGCTGTGGATGTTTGACATTTTAGAATGTTTAATACTTAGAAAATGTTAAATCTGCTTTTTTTAATGCCCTGATTGCCTCTACAAGTTTAATTGTTGTCTTTGTTGTTGATGTTATCATTGCTTAATAGACTTTAATAGTCTTAGCAATCTTCAATTACTAGAGGGAATCTTCTTTGTTTTGTAAGCAACCATGTAGACTGTTTTACTCTAATTGTTTCCTGTCATGGGGACAGGTTAAAACTTTGGACCAGCTAGCTGTCAGTTTTGGTTCATCAAAATAACATTTTCTCAACTGTTATGCCATCATTGCACAGTAGTTCTTAAGAGTAGTAATGGCACCAAATCCAGTAGCAGGAAAATATCTCTCAAGCCAGTTTTACAGGTGGAGCCTTAACTGTGGGAGAGTCAGGTTGCCAAGTAGAGGTGGTGGTTATCTTGGAAACTGTGCTGAAGAACACAACCACAAATGTGATTTTGCCAAATATACAGTATTTACTTGGTCTAGATCTCCAACTTCTATTTTGACTCACTGCCAAAACTTTGTAAATACTGTGCCATTATTTAGGGAGGTTATATAGTTCATCTGTTGGTTTGGTGTGTAGTGGGAGAGAAGAGTTCCTGGAGGGAAGAATGCAAAGCAAGACACCTTGAATCATTGTGACTGCAAGCCAAAAAGGATTGTATGTATCTGCTTATTTCCAGCATTATTCTTATTCTAGGTTGTACATTGCAGAAAATACCTAAGATAGATATACAATCTTTTCTCAATAAAATGGATTTTGGTTGCCCATTCCAAAATAG